AACATACCACATTTTTTCATATCAAACAATAACATAACATGTGAAAAAAATGTACATTAAAAACCAAATCATACCACATCTTTTCATATCAAATCATATCACCACATATGAAATAAAATAATATATTAAATTTCATATAGAATTTAAAAAAATCACATCACATCTTCGTCAAATATTCACATAATGTCATAAAAAAATCATCATCATATTATATAGCAGAAAATCGTATCAAATCACATGATATTATACAGAAAAAATGGTTACATCATTTGAAAAATCACATCTCATCGATTCATAATAAGTCACATCACGTGCTTTGATGGAAAATCATATGACATTTTTGGATTATGATGTAATAGACATATTACATTACAAATGTCACAAGATAATTATTTTTATTTATATGAAATTATATCAAATAACATAAGAAATCATGACATTAATATCATGTCAAAATCATATCGCAACAATGCGTGAAAATGACATCATGTCAAAAATTTATATCGCATGACCCCGCCAAAATCATATAATGGCAAATACTCATATCGCATCAATTCTTAAAATCATATCGCAGCAATTCTTCAATATCACATAATGTCAAAAATCATATCGCATCAATTAGTCAAAATCACATCATGTCAAAAATCATATCGCATCAATTAGTCAAAATCACATCTTATCATATCACATCTTTTCAAATCAAATAACTCATATCTCATTAAATCTCAACATAAACCTTTTTACAATATCATACAAAATCAAATAACCTTACAATCATTTTAGGTTTGATCATCTTTACAAATAGAATCTATTCACAATTATGAAATAGTGTTCCGTATCAATAGGGAATATTTTAAACATGAGTTCACAGAACACGGCGGGTGTAAAATTTTAATATCTACAATATATTTATCGTAGCAGGAAAAGTTTGTTATGTAAATCAAATCATATGAGAAAACTAGAAACCAAAACAAAATCAATTAAATATCGAAAGTCTTCCCCGATGAAACAGCTGAATATTTCTTAAATTTCACTTTTTTTCTAAATACATAATTGAATTGCTCAACAATGCAAATACTCCTTAAATGGAATTAAATTATTTAAAAATTACTGGTATGCAAATGGTAAATATTAGTAAGGCGTTTAGCAACTTTATTTTCATAACTCCATTAGCATTTCATGCAAGCCCACATCTACAAATGAATTTCAAATCATAACGAAGTTATTATTAATCCCTCTCGCTGATTGAAGGTGCACGTTTCCACACTTCATGTCACGTCATTCAATGTCCAGCGTTAATTTTCAAGTCCGATATCCAATCGGCTGGCTAGACTAAGCTGCCCAAAACTGGACATTGTTGTTGTTGCGGCTGATATTTTTGTTGTAAATTTGTTTTATTGCGTTTGCAGTTCGACAGTTCGTTGAATTGACAGCGAGCGACTTAATTTAAAGCGTCGCCCACAATTTGTTAAGTCAATAAATAAATAAATAAAAAAATTGATTTCTCTACAAAGAGTTCAATAATGGCTTTTTCTCCTCATTTTCATGGCATTTTAGTTTTGCTTTTTTTTTTTGCTTTTAATTTTCTGTTTGAATTTAAAATCGAAAGTATTTGCCCACAAAATTATTACCCCATTAAAACTCAAATGAACTCGTAATAATTTTATTGTTATATGAGTTTTTTAAATCTTATTTTTCACTTGACAACTCTTCATTTACATATGTAAATATGACTGTCTGTTTATTTGTTTGTTTGTGTATTAATGAAAATTTTCAGCGTAGGCGTTTTCGAACGCTTTGGGATTGTCAACAGCTTTGTCAATGTTACCAATAATTGGATTTTAATACCATGAGAGGTGTTGATAAGAAGTGCATTTATGCATAGGAGCATATGTATTTATATTTATAGTCGCATAGATATATTTAAACACACCTGTTCGCTATGCATAAATGCTTGTAATTTAATGAAATATTCAAATTTTGATCAAATATTGGATTTCTGAGAAGACTTCGCTTTCGTGTCGGTGGCTATAAGGAAAGCGCTCAATTTGGGTCAGCAGAGTTGCCATAGATACAACATAAATATATTAGATACTATTAAAAAATGTTCTTTGAAAATAATTCAGAAGCAAAATCTACCAAAATTTTCAAACTCATCATACTACCTGCTGATTAATTGACCCTGAAGAGATTTCCGAATTTCGTGGACTGCTCCTTGATATTTTTCTAAGAAAGTGGAGTGACCTCTAGTTTATTCTAAGTCTACATCAAACAGCTGATGATAATGCGGTGCTTTTTATTTAATGTAACAAATACGTATACTCGGCGGGGCGTGGATAGTAAGAAATTTAATTTATTTAACTTTTTATGTTGGTCTGCCCAGAATTGGAAATTGTTATAAAAATCCACAAGCCACTCGAAGGATCCTTTCAGAAGACCCTCCAAATTGCAGTCTGCACCTTTTACAAAACGCGCTGAAATCTAGTATTGAAAATATTATTTTTCGAGCACCGGTGATCCCGGCGAGCCGTTTTTGGAGATTACTTCATAAAAAGGACTTCTCGACGATGAAATCTGGATTCTTGTAGTACTTGACCACTATAGCAGCGCTGTAGATTATTTTGTGAAACAAGTCATTGAGGGTATTCTTGAGTGACGTAATGAGAATCGTACTCTTTAAAAGGAATATCTTAACAGACATTACATGATGATTGCCAATCATCCTGAATCAGAACAATTAAGACAGCTAATGATGAGGATTTTCCACTCTAGACTCAGTATAAGTTCATAACTCCTTTAACCTCATTTTGAGAATCAAAAGAGGCTCTATAACAAGCAACAATACTTTATACGGTTGATTTTCCCACGATGTCATGCGTCCGAAAAACCGAGCTGCCATATTTTATCAAGCCCACGGAAGAAGGGACATGCCTATCAAGCTACTACAGCAACAAACTTTTTATTAAGTACGGCCGATTCTCCGTCGCCAAATTATGCCATTATCTTGGAAGTGACTCAGAATTTCGCATAAAAACTATCTGAAACCGCCACTGACTTATTGAGTATCCAATTTTTACCAGATTTTTCTCCTTCGATTCCACTCACGTATATGCCCACGTTCGAGCTGAGTTGACCGTATAATGTACTCATTCACTGAGCTCTGCCACTCCGCTATCCGATTCGATATGTTAAATTCCTCCTCTTACTTTCAGAGTAAGATCTTATCCCACTAGAAATTGCACACGTTGAATTTTCATAAGCATGAAATTCAATTTTGGAGAGTTCTTCGACTCACCTGCAGCGAAGTATTTTCAATTAAAAAAACTCTTTATAAAAATACATCAGGCACACTGAAGGAGCCTCCTTTTGTTAGAAAGACATCAAGATCTCTACCAAAGAAAGGAGTAAGATCTCTGTCAAACACCGATTAAGGTTCCATTATGTTTAACTTCGATTATAGGCGAGTTAACAACAGGTCCTTCTCCAGTTGGTCTTTCCAGCAGAGTAGCGGTTTTCCAATTCATATGCTTCCACCGACGGGTACTGCATCGACAACGAAAATTGGAGCGTTCTTATCCATTCGAACCACAAAACCAACCCAGCGTAGTCTTTGTCTCTTGTTTCACTGACCTATGTCAATATCTCGTATATCTCGTACATCGTTCTATCGTCTGCGAAACTCATCGGATGTTGTCATAGTCTATGCTTTCGCATACACTCTAGAATGATGAGCGGCTTAGTTAGATGTAGCTGCTGTTGGCGAGAGTGATTCTGGGTGGGATTTCAAAGCTGACATTGTTAAAGTTGAGAGCCAATAATGTTAATATTATCGGCGTACGCTAGCAGCTGTACACCCTCATAGGAGATTGAAATAAGGAATAGAAAAAATGAATCAAAAAAATTAAAATCCCTCTTCTAGCCGTACACACAAACATTCTTTACTACCCACAAACAAATTTTATTTAGTCTAGCCAGAACTGAGTGTGTCTAATTTTGCAATTCTGCGTTTTCGAAATGTCAGAACTACCCTACATTTTTAACCGTGAAAACATTAGTTGACACATGCTAAGAAAACATGATAACAAAAAAGCATTTGTTTCTTATTAAAAACATATTCGTCACTCGGCAAGCGCACAACAAATGCTTATTTTATTTACATATGTATACATACAAATTTACGCGCATACTATTTGTAAAACTATAATCGGGAATTTCGTCCACAATATTTCGACAATGTGCTCAATTTTAAGTGGACCGCATACGCGAAGAGTCAGTCACTCACATTCACCTCTCTGCGCGATTATGCGTGTCGTATGAGTATTTTAGACTCGTTCACTCGCTGAGTGCTTGGTCATCAGCCTCGTCTGGTGATGATGATGAAGATGCAACGCGACGCAACGCGACGCAACGTTTGCCAATTGCAGCGACAAATATTCAATTCACTTGTGCTTCTTCTAATCCGTGTGTGACATTTTTATGTTTATTTATTTTTATTTTTTTATTTTTATTTTTTTGTGGTTGCAATATTTCAAATACCTGGTGCACAGTGTGTGTGTGCGCAAATAAATCTGTGCCTAGTCTGTATGTATTTCCTATAAATATAGATATACCATTATGCGTACGTTAATACACACACTCACACACACACACACCTTTTGACTATTTGCACTAGAAAGTGATAGTGTTTTTATTCGCATTGCAACGTGACGCGTCAACCTAAAAAATTCGAAAATGCCGGCATTCGCAAAGCACAAATTCTTCGGTATTTTTGGCATCAAATGGATTTTCGCATTGATTTAAACATTCACACTATACTGTTGTATTTATTAGCTAATTTGCTAAGTGCCAACGCGTGAGTTGCGCTTTTTCGGCACATCAATTTGAGCAACACTCTGCAATGCCCGCCAAATATTTTGTCGATTTTTAATTGTTTTTATTATTTTTTCTATTTAATGCCATTTAATTACTTATATTTCTATTTATTCTCTGCTTTTCTGCAGCATGCGAACTATGTACGTCAAGCAGCTGAGGATTACTTGGCTCGCCGTCAGGCCCGCAACAAATCGATGACGCGCTCAATGACTTCCGGCTCGGCTGGTCCCATTCTAGCTATGGGTAATGTACACTATTTGCCAGCAGCCAAAAGCGGTACATTCTTTGCACGCGATAATGTATCCAATTTTATAACCTGGTGCAGGTGAGTGAAACAAAGTTTGTTTATTTCATTTTGTTTTTTTTTTATTTTATTTTTTTATTAAAACTTTATTATACTTTGTTTTATTGGATTTGATTTTCTTTTTATAATTTTAATTATTTTGTTTATTTTGTTTTACTTTTGCTATTACTTTATTTTTATTTTTTATTTTATATAATTTTATTTTACTTAATTTATTTTTTTATTTATTTTGTTTAATATCATTTTAATTTCTGTTATTTTACTTTTTCATCTAATTTTCTACTTTTTAATTTACGTTATTTATTGTTATTTTATTTTAATATATTTTTTTTTATTTTTTTGTTACTTATTATTTATTAATTTTATTTAATTTAATTGTTTTATTTTATTTTTCTTTAACTTACAATATTTAAATATTATAATATTTATATAATATAATAATAATAATAATATTTATTATATTTCATTTTATTTTTATGTTATTTTTCTCTCATTTTTATACTTTCATTTTATTTTATTTTAATTTTACTGTTATTTTATTTTTGTTTTTTTATTTGAAATAATTTTATCTTACTTAAGTTATTTTTTTAATATCATTTTAATTTTTGCTATTTTATTTTTTCATGCAATTTTTTATTTACTTTATTTGTTATTTAACGATATTTATTGTTATTTTATTTTAATACATTTTTTTATTTTTTATTTATTAAAATAGTTTTATTTAATTCAATTTTTTATATATTATTTAACTTTATTTAATTTAGTATTATAATATATATTATATTTAATTTTTTTTAATTTTATTTTTTATTCTTTTATTTTATTGTATTTTATTTTAATTTTTATTAAACTTTAAATTTATTTATTTTTTTTTTTACTTTTACAATTATTTTATTTTTATTTTTTATTTTCTATAATTTTATTTTACTTTTTATTTATCTTTTGGAATACGATTTTAATGTGTTATTTTTGTTTTTTTGATTTACGTTATTTAATTTTACTTAATTCTAATATTTTTTTTTATTTCCTTATCCTTTTGTTTTTCTCTCAATTTTTAATTGCATTTTATTTCCTTTTATTTTATTGTTTTATTCTATTTTTATATTTTGTTTTTATTACATTTTTATTAGGTTTAAATTAATTTTTTTTAATACCATATTATTTTCTTTATTTAAATATATTTTATTTTTCCCTTTTATTTTTTATTTATTAGATTTATTTATTCTATTTTTTTTAATAATTTTAATAATAATATAATTTAATAAATATAATAATAATTTAAGTTTATAATATTTATTAAATTTAACTTAATTTAATTTTATTTTTCTCTTATTTTTTTATTTTATTTTAGTTTTAATTATATTTATTTTATTTTATTTTATTCTTTGCATTTTATTTTGTTTCATCTTATTTTATTTAGCTATATTTTATAATATATTATTTATTTTTTTTTCGTTTGACTTAAATTTTTTTTAATTTTTTTGCACTGACTTTTATTTTAATTTAACTTATTTTATTTTATCTTATTTTATATAATTTTTTTTTTTGTTTCACATTGCTATATTTTGTTTTAAATTTTTTGTATCATATTCCTAACCACCACTACTGGTTTTGTAAACTTTTTTAGGAAAAGCCTTAAGATAATCGAGTGCCTATTATTCGAAACCGATGATTTAATTATGCGAAAAAACGAGAAACATGTGATCCTCTGTCTACTAGAGGTGGCGCGTCGTGGCGCAAAGTTTGGTAAGTTTCCCGTGGCTCAAAGTACCCTTTAGTTAAAAAAAAAAAACTATTTGGTTAATTTACATATTAGTCACGCGTATTTTTGCATTTATAAACATTCACATATATGTATATGCAGTGTGTAAAATTGCATATATGCCTGTGTAAACGATTATATATCCACCCAAACATATGTTTATGTACTATTTGTATTTTTCAACAGGTATGCTCGCGCCCATGTTGGTACAGATGGAGCGTCAAATCGATCGAGAAATCGCCGCCGACAACAAAGCAAATGGAATAGGGTGTGGCACACAAACAGACAATGCCGATGCGACTGGCACACAAACTGAGATCGGCATCAATACCGATAATGTCGCCACCGAGACCGATATGTTCGACGACAGCGATTCAGAGAATGAGGACGACGATGATAATAGTAGCCCAATGTTGATGTATGGACCACAACCGCAAATTATCACAAACGATTTGAAGAGTTTGGATGAGATGGTGAGTCTAATTGTGCACCAGTATATGCAAAAATGTGGTATAACAACAAAAAATAAGAGAAACTGAAAATGAAATTTTAATCTGTATGAGAAAAAGTAGGCTCGTAAAGTTCATTTCAACTTTCAACTTTTCAAATAGACTTCGCGCATGCGCAACAAACCTTAACGCACATTTGCTAAATTTGACAAATTTACATTAAACTGTCAACGTGTGGTTACTCACATACAGTGCATGTGAATTTATTTCTTACTTGGCAAATTACATATGTAGCTACAAGGTATAAATGTATTTAGCATAAATTTACCGCTAATTACAAATGTTCAGATAAATTACATGATTAAAAAATTTTCAACTTTGCCATTGTCAGATCTTGATTACACTTCACAAAATGTCTTCAAAGTCAATTACATTTTATACATGTACGAATACGAATGTACATATATACATACACATGTACGTTTATTTGGCATATCTGATTATGCCATGACATGAAATGCATATTATACACATCTTTACATATGTTATGTAATACATACTGTTTTAGTTATACCGTTTTTAGGTGAAGTACTCGTAATATACCTTGCTACATACATACATATTTATATACAGTGAAATGAGGTTAGGTTTGATAATTAACAAAAATATCTAGAAGTTGGCAGCCAAGAATTTTTTATAAAATAACAAAGCTAATGTATTTATATTATGATTTTAATTATTTTTATATTTGATTTTATATTTTTTTATTTAACTTCACTTCATTTTATTTTATTTTATTTATTTTTTATTTACTTTTATTGTTTTTTACTTTGTTTTCTTAAATTTTTTGTTTACATTTATTTTCCTTTATGTTATTATATTTTATTTTATTTCACTTTCGTTTATTTGATTTTATTTTATTTTAATTTTATTTCATTTGAATTTAATTTAGTATATTTTGGTTTTATTGCGATTCATTTTATTTTGTAAACTTTTGAGCTATTTTACTTTATTTCAAACGAAAGAATATTTCGTTTCAGTTTACTTTCTTTTTTATTTTCGATTTATTGATTTCAATTTTATTTCATTTGACGTTATTTAATTAATATATTTGATTTTAATTTTTATATTTTATTTTATTAATTTTTATTTTTCTTTTTTTTAAATTGTTTTTTATTAATTTCTTTTATTTTATTTTTAATTTATTTTTCATTTTTTTTTTTCATATAATTTAATTTAATTTTATATTATATTATTTATTTTTTTTTTCACTTTATTACATTTTATGTTGTTTTTGCTGATATTTTAATACATCTATTTTATATTTTTTTTATTTTTCTTTTAATTTTGCTTTACTTTATTTTATTTTAATTTACATTATGTTATTATGTTTTGTTTTTAAACTAGCTTATCTCAATTTATTTTTCTTCTATTTTATTTATTTTTTTCTAATTTTATTTTAATTTAACTTATAACATCTCATTTTATTTCAGTTTTTTTTTGTATTTGACATTTATTCCTTTCATCTTATTTTAGTTATTTTTAATATGCTTTCTTTTTAATTTTATTTTTTATTTCTTTTTATTTTACTTAATTTTATTATTTTTTTATATTTAATATTTATTTTATTTAATTTTTTTTAATTAGTCAACACTGACACCCTCAAATCTTGAATATTCAAATACACATCTATTTCTATGTCGACTTAAACTGATACTCCATGAAAATATAGAATTACAAACATACCATATACATATGTATGTAGGTATGAACATACTTACAAATCAAGTTTCTCCCTATAGTTTTTCTTTTATACATGTGTGTGTATGTGTATATGTATTTTTCTGTTGAGAAAAACGTTAGTTGTAAATTAAAATGCCCAAGCAATTGAAGAAGTACGGAAAAGTAAGTAAAGCACTTTAGGCGACATTCATTGGCGATTTGATTTTATTGATTTTTCACAGGGCTACAGCAGTTGTTGTTTATGTATGTTAACTTCTCCTATTTTTTGTATTTTTTTTTTTTTTTTGGGTTTTATTCTTTGGATTTTACGTTTTCATTTTTACAGCGTTTCGTGGTCACGTTTTGTGAGTCAGTTGCGCGTGCGCAATTCCGCCAAAAATAAAAACGCCAACAATGCGCTGGGGAAAAAAGCGTAAAAGCGTTTGGTTTTTTATTCTTCGTGTTTGCTCAATCGACCAGCAGGCATCATGGCTAACTAACCAACCGATGGCTATATCATTTCGATTGCACAAAAGCATACTGAGACATGTACATACAGATGTGTGTATGCATGTATACGAGCGCGTGGTGTATAGAAGACTCATATTACTTTCAATAACAAATAGCACAGACAGACATTTTCAATTTATTTAGTTTTTCTTTTGTCAATCGCACTCAGTTCGACCGAGAACAACTTTTCCTCTGAGTATGCAAAGTTTTCACATTTGTACAATTTGTGTGTGTGTGTGTATTGTATTAAGGTTGAGTTAAAATTGTGTGTTTGAAGATATGTAAGAAGCACGCAAAAGAAACACAAAGCTTGTCTACTTACGAATACTTACGCAAATTCTTTGATATGAAGCGACATTTGTTGGCGGCACCAATCCCGCATACCCTAAGTTGCCTAGAAAATCTGATAAGCTGGTCTTCGACAAAAAGAAATTATGCCGCGGATAAAGCAGGGTAGGGAGACTAGCATAGAGACATATAGAGGAAATTTTCTTCTTATGTCAGATGGATTGTTTATTCTCTGCCCTAATCCAATCAGTCCTTCAATTGAAGTATTTTTATACGGTAATAATGTAAGATTGAGAGCGAACTTTTCTCTCTATTCTTTAAAGGGATAAGATCTCTGGAATGGCTTCCGATCAGCGTACATTACTTTCGCTAAGGCTAGAAAAGGCTAGTCTTGGATAAACAGTCAAAGGGGATAGTTCTGATTTCAGGATTGCTATGAGTGCTTGTTTCCTTCTTCATATTACTTATATATCTTCTGAAGAATCTTGCAATCTATTAGCTGATCGTGCTGTTTTAATCCAGTGACGGCAAAAAAATATTCGCAAAATTGTTTTTCGATGAATATTGCCAGAGTGACAGTCCTTGACCAGTTAAAAACCGGTTCTTACGACATGTACATCTTACCTTGGGTCTATCGGAACTTTTATTACTTGAGAGATTGCCTCCCCTTTTAAGGAATGTATTTTTCTCTTTACCATTTACGTAAAGTCCTTTTGTGATTTCACCTTAACGCAACCTGTACACAGAAGTATTCAATGAAGAGCGAATACAGCAAATTTATTGCTGCCTTGTTGTCCTCTTCCTTAGTGTTGGTTTCAAACTGTCTGGCAGAGATCTCCGTCTACAATTATCCGGTAGTTTGAATAAGAGTTTCATAAGAGATTATCGTAAAAATGCCCCACCACCAGCTCTCCACTCAAAGTTTGATCCATCTAACCAAAGTGGCATATTTCGCTGACTCCTGCGTTTGTTTGACACCCTTAAACTCTCTACTTCTGTTGACTGCCAGCGGTAAATTATTGGCATTTAAAGCCTCATATGAGCTACTACTAAGATCACCATTAAGGCATATTTCCAGGAAACTCATTCACAATTTTGTATATTGTCGTAAATTCAACCAGTTCCTATTTATTTGAGTCGCCTTGGCGTCCACAAGAGGTAGACCAGCTCAATGTGCTTCGAAAAGTGCCCTAAATCAAGACGCATGCGATGTGTGTGATTTTATATCTATATATATACAATATTAGGATGTAACTGCAGAAGCGATTTTCGGCCAAACTCCTGCTGCTCCAATTTGTGCTGTGCATCTTGATGGTTTTCCAACAAATGGAGTGAACTATCGTCTCTGAAGGGCTGACGGTTTTTTTATGAGGAGCTTTTATTTCATGCCAGAAAAACACTCGAAGGACTTGACATTTTGCCAAGAAACGATCGCATATCAAAAAATTATTTTTTTTTATAATTTTGGATGTTAATCGAACCAGGACTCGCTTTCCCAGTACGCCGTGTTAACCACTCGGCTACTGCGACCGCAAATAACCATATATGCTCCACAAAACCCTTCTCTGAAAAGCTTCCTAGTGCTAACCTCCGACTACACGCTTCTGGACCATTTAAGGGCAGAGGAGTGATGAGCGACTTGTAGAGGACTCCTTGAGAGAGGACTTAACTTTTCAATTGCCCACTCAGTCAAAAGTAGCATCTGCTGACCAAAAGTGTTTCTGCGTGCTTTTTCCAAGATAGATGAAATTAACTAAGACTTCTAAATATGACTGTCAACAGTGCCGTGGCAGCCAAGAGGCAAATGAGCTGAATGTATGTTTGAAGGCAGGAAATATTTCTTCTTGTCCTTATTCACTGCTTTAATCATTCGCTTCGCAGCTTTGTCTAATCTAGAAACAGTAGGCTTAATGGCGCGGTGCTTTGGATGCCAGTCACCTGAATACGGTTCTTAAACAGTTCCATGGATTCAGCAAGCACTTTGCCCTTTACTAAGTACCAATCATCTATTCCAATGCATCTGCATTTTCCCAACATCTGCATTCACTATATTTCCGTTAATTGATTTCACTTAAAATATCGCCACGTCAAGCTTGGAATATACTCCCCGGAAGTTGCTCAACCGTGTCTACTGGTATATGCGGAGGCGATACATCACCTTACTAATTTGACAAGACATGCACAGATGAAATGTCACTTCTAGGCATAAAATGCCAGCACCGCCATCCTCTCGTTGTTAACCCAGCCCCAGCGTTCGTAAGATATGCGAATATTTAAGCCGGTCGGTATGGCGTACAATCAAAGAGATTTTTGAGATTTCCGCACGCCCGCAGCAAAAAATTTCCTAAGAAATTATCATGGACATACATTCATACATACATACGAGCGCTACACCAGCCAATAAGGCGCAAACTTGTGTATGTACGAATGTACGGCTGTTCGCCAACTCCCGCAAGTCCAAACAATAAAATATGCGCAGCCGCGCTGTGGCGCAGTCAAAACAT